CTCACAAGCCTGAAATTGAATCATTGACAAATCATTCACATATAAGTTTTTGCGTAGCTTTAAATTGAACGGAAATTTTGTTTAGAACATTGCCGATCTCAACTTTTCAATCAGAGATTAGACAAATCAAAATTTTCAATGTTAGATAAAACACATAATTGTTAAGAACTTAACCCCAAGTGTTGTTTCATTTTGCTTACTTGAAACCATTAACTAGAAATTAAAATAGATGCCTCGCCACAATTACAATCAAGAATCAAATATGGTTAAAACTAAAAATGTGTGACACAGAAATCATTATAAGAAAATTAGAAGTTAAAAAACTAAAAACTAAAGTGTCTCTAGTAGTGGAAAAGTTAAAAACCATGAAGTGTGACAATGAAAGATCAAATTTGGGGAGCACCATTAACTTGAAAAAGGAAACAATATCATGCCCAAAATTAAAGCCTCTGATGAGATGAACATTCTCCAGCTTGATGAAATACTAAATGAAAACATTTTCATGCTAACCTCATCAGCCTTAGATAAAAAGTAAAAATGTATTATTTTTATTTTTTAATTTAACTGAATAAATTACAAACGCCATATGGTGGAAGGGTATGCAGAAAACAAAATCACAGTTGGAGTCAAGATCATTATTATCAAGTAGGCCAATCAATGAAATTGTCAAGGCACCTCAATTAAATACAATAATAGACACTGGCTTCAGAGAACAATAAGTGTGTGTATGCTTCATTTAAAAATATTTACATGGTTCTGCTCAAATAAAACACATAATTGTTAGAGAATACTTCATTTACAGAACACTTGACATTACTGTGTGGATAAATTCTCACAACTAGAAACATAATATAGTTTCATTTCAAGGATAGTCACTAGACTAATAACAAAGGAGAAAGATTCAGCAAATCAACAATCAGAGTTGAACACCAATCAGATGAAATCTAAGCTTCACTTGGCAAACTCACTATATGAAGATACACTAGGTTCAAATATATGTTTCCACTTCCATATTCGATGCCTTACGGAGATGAAAAATGATGGGCAAAGTACTCTTTAGTTACTTAAATTTTAGTATTTCCTGAAAAATCATAATTTTCAACTGAAGAAGAAACTAAAATTTAATGTTTACGTTAAGAATGTGCATGCATTATTGATCGTCCTCGGCTCTATCTGCTAGTAATATCTATATATAGATCAACTATTATTATGTTTATCAACCATAATAAGCTGTATGTATATGTTTGTGTATGTATCATTTTTCTTTTTCTTTCTTTCTTTTTTTTTCTTTTTTTTTGGTAACGGTGAATTAAGTACATATGTAATCTTTTCAGCTTACCATGTGCTAAATAATGTGTCTTTGTATCCGGCTTCAAGTCTTTTGTCCTACATAT